TGCAAAGTTTGCCGGGTCTTGAAACAACTTAAACTAGACTAGTATATCACAATGCAGCAACACTTAATGGATTGCTCCAAAAACACAATATTTTAGAACATTTATGAAAAACTAGCCCCTTGTAAGAATTTATAAATTTTAAGTCTCTATAAAACGCTAGTCCCACTCAGATTGGTGACTATTCATAATTTCAACAGAGCCAATTTGAGCTGACAAGGAAATAGAAAATTTATGTAAAATAACTTTTAAAACTAAAAAATAATCCCAGCATAACCACAATTAAAGAAAAATACTCCCCACTCACCTCTTGTACCAATCTCTGAAATGTTTCTGTAAGATTTTGCTCCCTCCACCTAGTTAGATCAATAATATTCAATCCAGACATCCAAGCACAAGAGTTTCTATCAGAAATATTCCCACCCAAAAGATTTTTCAGCTGACCCAACTGCACTGCACAGAACTGAACAGCACCATTCACTTTACCCTCCATATCAAGGCTCCATAGGGCTGACAAATCTCGCTGGACGACAATATCATCATCCAAAACCACTACTCTCTTAAAAGTCGGGAATACCTTAGGAAGGAGATAGTGTGAGTGAGAAAAAACAGATAAGTATTCTGTTCTAACACCAGTTGTAGATGGTTTATCGACACTGTGAAAGGAAATACGAAATTCCTCAGCCAAGGAAAGCTGTAATGGAGTTGCCTTCTCATGGTCATTCAGATTAAGCTCTTCAATGTTCAATACTTGAATAGTGGCTTCCTTGTAAGTATTTCTGAAGAACCATAGCTTCATGGCAAAGTAATTCTCTCCATCCGTAAACACATGAAATACTTGATTTTCGCTCTCCTGAACAAGTATACCAAGCCCATGTCATTGACTGAAAGAAACCAAATTTCAGATTCACAAGAATTTATGCACAATAGAATGAAGTGAACATACTTTTGCATTCATAACAGTTGAGTTAATTACTAGAGATGATGCGAGTACGTTTTTGGAGAACATAACGTAGTGGTGCAATGCTGGATTCATATATTTCTCAGCCCTTGAATGATAAAAACAAAAACAAAAACAAAAAAACAGAGAACTGAGCTCTGAAGGGAATCAAATAATTTGTTCTCTCACCCAACAAACATCTATCCACTGTGGTCTTTGATTCTTCAATAGACCTTGCTAATAAGCCCCTCATGTACAGGAAATTAATTCCAACAAAGTAGAGAACTGAGCTCTTCCTCTGAATCCCTACAAAAAAATTGCATTGTCAACCCTCATCAGTTGTGCTCAAGGCATACTTACCGTAGCCGTCGCTAGAACTCTCGCTTCTCTGCTTTGTCAGAAAGTAGTAGACAAAATTTTCTTCCTTATTTATTCACCAAAGAAATTACCTCTGTCAAATTCACCGTAAATCTCAGTTTCTTTCTTGCAACAGATTCCGCCAAAAAACCTAGATCAGGTGAAAATTCTTTCGGACCCTGAAAATAGACATCACGCACACTTCTAGCTTCTTGGACCAGGGTTGTCTATTTATGGGTTCACATTGCAATCACTCAGGAATTGGTTTTCTCGATTCAGAAACTTCTTCCAGTAGCGTTTATATTTTGGAATGCCAAGTTCTATCCAAGGTTTCATATTCCCGTTAAAATGCAACACTGCAGCCTTGTTAATGGCTTCAATATCCAGACCATAGTCATGACCTAGTCCTGACAACATCCATGTATCATCAAGAGCATGAACTAGGCCTTGAAATGCAAGCAAGCTTGCACGCATTGTAGCTGCTTTATTTAATTCCTCTCCTCTGTTCAGCTGCTGTACAAATTTGACCCCAAAAAAACAAAGAAAAAAGAGAGGCATAGATGAGAGTTTCATTTTTGGAATGTTTAAGCATATATATCATTACACTGGAAAACAAAAACATATCTTAAGAGTTTACCTCAACAGAGGAACTAGATCAACTAGAGAACTTAAATGGTTTAAAATAAAAAAATAAAAAAAAATAAAAAAGGAAATGAAATTGTGATTCAATGGGAACAACACCAAATAATTGCAGTTTCGGTGCAAATGGATGCAAGTGAGTTGTGTCATGCTTTCACTTCCACCATACATAGACTCACTTGTACCTCTATGAAATTTGTCAATTATTTTGAATTGTTCTTTCCTAAAATGAAATTTCCCCAAAAAGAAAGTAAGCAAGCAAGAAAGATGCACACAAGGAAGAACCTGCAAAGTTTGCCGGGTCTTGAAACAACAGACTAGTATATCACAATGCAGCAACACTTAATGGATTGCTCCAAAAACACAATATTTTAGAACATTTATGAAAAACTAGCCCCTTGTAAGAATTTATAAATTTTAAGTCTCTATAAAACGCTAGTCCCACTCAGATTGGTGACTATTCATAATTTCAACAGAGCCAATTTGAGCTGACAAGGAAATAGAAAATTTATGTAAAATAACTTTTAAAACTAAAAAATAATCCCAGCATAACCACAATTAAAGAAAAATACTCCCCACTCACCTCTTGTACCAATCTCTGAAATGTTTCTGTAAGATTTTGCTCCCTCCACCTAGTTAGATCAATAATATTCAATCCAGACATCCAAGCACAAGAGTTTCTATCAGAAATATTCCCACCCAAAAGATTTTTCAGCTGACCCAACTGCACTGCACAGAACTGAACAGCACCATTCACTTGACCCTCCATATCAAGGCTCCATAGGACTGACAAATCTCGCTGGACGACAATATCATCATCCAAAACCACGACTCTCTTAAAAGTCGGGAATACTTTAGGAAGGAGATAGTGTGAGTGAGAAAAAACAGATAAGTATTCTGTTCTAACACCAGTTGTAGATGGTTTATCGACACTGTGAAAGGAAATACGAAATTCCTCAGCCAAGGAAAGCTGTAATGGAGTTGCCTTCTCATGGTCATTCAGATTAAGCTCTTCAATGTTCAATACTTGAATAGTGGCTTCCTTGTAAGTATTTCTGAAGAACCATAGCTTCATGGCAAAGTAATTCTCTCCATCCGTAAACACATGAAATACTTGATTTTCGCTCTCCTGAACAAGTATACCAAGCCCATGTCATTGACTGAAAGAAACCAAATTTCAGATTCACAAGAATTTATGCACAATAGAATGAAGTGAACATACTTTTGCATTCATAACAGTTGAGTTAATTACTAGAGATGATGCGAGTACGTTTTTGGAGAACATAACGTAGTGGTGCAATGCTGGATTCATATATTTCTCAGCCCTTGAATGATCCATATCAGGTGGAGGAGATCTGAAATATTCCACAGTTAATCGCATTGACAGACAATGAAAACTTTTTGGCATGGTTTGGACTGCAAGTTGGTAGAGGAAGACACTCTGCTTCATGTGGAAGTTAGATTCGTCCTCTGTCAGATCGACTAATTGCCTCAATTTCTTGTCAACATTATTACAATCCACAGTAACTGACTTTGCTCGGGCTATTACAGCTTCCATCTTCTGTAGTTTCTTTTCAATCCTGATGTAATAGACAAAATCACGCTCAGTATTCTACAGATGACGAAAAGTTGGGCCAACTTATCATGAATCTTGGCAAAAACAGAATCAATATAATGTTAAAGGTCAAAAAGCTTTTTATACATAAGACATGTCAATTCACGACATGGATGGGGTATGTAAATTCCTTGCAAGGATGTCTTCCAACTACCCTAAATTCTCAGCTAATGATAAATTTAAGATCAAACATAGTTCATCAAGAACTATATAATATCCATATTATTATAGTGATGGCCTGTTGCCACAACCATGACTTCTTTGGCAGGTGTCAGTTATTGCAGCTGGACAATCGAAGTCAGACAAAATGGTTATGCCATTAACAATAATGAATAGTAACAATGCTAGCAGGCCAACTCCATTATGATTTTGTAGTGTTTGGGAAACAAGTCAAAAAAACAAGCATGTTGCCAGGGTGCAAGTTGAAGTCGAGTGAAGCCTTAACGGCTAGAGACGAAGCTAAGTGGTTGCCAAGTAGTTGGGATGCACAATACCTAGGTGAGGTGGCAAGCAATCCCGAGAGGGCAATCTAGAGGGAGCAATCCGAAAAGGGAGATCCAGAGGGAGTGATCTAAAAAAGGAGATCCAAACAGGACGATTTGGAGGGGTGATCTGGAAAGGGAGATCCGCCACATAAGAAATCTAGATACATTTGCCTATATATGTCTTGGTGAAATTAATTGATTCCACCAAGTGGTTGAACTTGCAATTTTATGTTTTAGTGAAATTGCATGTTGTTTAAAAACTACTCAGGTTAGGAAATTTTGTTTGAGAACTACCTGCCTTCGGTTAAAAAAAAAGAAAAAAAATACTCAAGCACAAGTAGTTGTTGAGAGACTAAGACTTGTCAAGTTGGATGGAGTGAAGTCAAGTTAGATAGTTTGATGATCTATGAGGGTTCTAATAGTTTAACTTAATAGAAATTAAGGATAAACTACTAATAGGTTCTAATAGTTTAACTTAATTCCCATAAATTCCTATTGATAATAAATCCTAGCAAAATCGTTACTAAAAGTATTTTTTGATGACAATCTTTTGCATATGTCGCTAAAACTTACAATCAGTGACAATTTTCTGTGAAGAATTTTTCAAACTGTTACTGAAAGTTGAAAATTAGTAACCTTTCTTAGTGACAATTTTTTTAAATTGTAGCTAAAACTTATAATATGTGACATTTTTTGTGACAATATTCAAACTGCTATTGAAAATTAACAATTACTGACGTTTTTTAATAGTGTTTGATGAAAAACATATTAATTCTCACAGGACATATTGGACAATAAGTCCACCCAAGGTTCTAAAAAGCGGTTGCAGTCACCGTAACGGTGGCGGTGGCGCAGTTGAGATTGCGGGGTGTAAAGGCCGTAGCGTAACGGTTGCGGTAACCGGAACCGTGAATTTTTTTATTTTTCACACAATTTGAAAAAAACTTACCGATACGCATATTTTTTTTTCCATGATCATATTTATTGGGATTTAAAATAAATATTGATCAATTTTTGTAAATTTTTAAGTATGATCCAATATATTTCATATTTTTAAATCACTATAAACTGAGTTTTTTACATTTTATTTTAATAATTAATGACTTTATATTATACAAAAACTCAATCACTAACTATTATATATAAGATAAATAATGACAAAAGTAAGAGAATAAATAAGAGCCTAAATATATATACATATTTTAATCAAGCCAAATAGATAATGACCACACTTATTATTATTATTATTATCAAAAAATATATAGATAGACACACACAAACAAAGTGGTTGAGTGATAGCAGTTGAATAGAATAACATAGGTCTTACAGCTTCAACAAATCAATAACATGTTCTTCATCTTCCCTCTTCTCTCTCTATCCCTCTTCCCCCATTTTCAACTTTTTTTTTGTGTGTTTTTTCGAAAGAAGAGTTCGGAACCGTTACGTAACGGTGCGCAATAGGCCGTTACGGCTGTTACAGCACTGTTACAATCGCTACGACAGCTGCTACGGCCGACACACCTGTGAATCTCAATCACACTGCAAAAGCGGCCGTAACGGGTGGCGGTAACCACCACAACGGTATTACGTAACGGTTGCGGCCACTTTTTAAAACCTTGAGTCCACCTATTAGGACTTGCGTCCCCCAAGAATTAAATGATCCCAAGTTAAGTTGACTACAATGAGAAAGAAAAAGCAAAAAGAAACATCGGAAAAAGGTAGAAATTCAAAAGATAGGTATGCTATAATTTGATGTAATGACAAATAAATTAACAAACAAAAGATTGGCCCAAGATAGAACGAGCACCAAAAACGATCCTAAATGGTTGGTTGGTATATGGCTTAGGTGAGTCAAGTCAAGATCAATTAACATGCTTAAGAATCAGTTACCGACCACTACACATGCACACAATGCTATATTGAGTTTAGTTCAACTTCAAGTCAACATATTTACTATAAGCCCTATCTAGCCTAAGCCCAAATTTAGCAGTCCTTCTTGACAACCAACACAGTTACTCAAACACAACAGAATGGATTCAAGTTCAAAAGAATTTGTTCATGGGTCATGTTATGTATGTACAGGAAATCCAAATGACAAAAAAAAGTAAAAAAAAAAATTAATCCAGAAAAGGCAGTGCAAAAAATCATAATACAACAGAGTATGTATAAAAGGACAGAAATCAGACTTTTTTAATAGTAATATAATTTAAATAAAAGTTATAAAAAATTATAAAAAGACCATTAGTATAGGCTTGAACTACAGAGATCAAGTTCAAGTAATGAGAAAATTCATGATATGCATCTTGAGAGAAACTTCTATATTTTGCAAGCATGCACAATTCATATGATACCTAGCAGGTGGACCTACAGGCAAATAGCAGTCACCTCACTGCCAAACAAGAGTTTAGTATTTAATAGCTTAGACCAATGGATAGAATATTGGGTATTTCATAAAGAAGTAGTCACTTACTGCTGTGGGAGATCTGCATCTGTGGTAGTTTCACTGAGAACTCGCTCAAACTCTTGAATATTTTGCTTCATTTCATGGGACAATTTGTCCTGTGCTGGAAGCTTTGCAATACTAGGATAGTAAGCTCGGGCAACATAAAGTTGATCCTTCAATTTCTTCACCATATCGTCTTTCATTTTTTCCTTGTGTTCTTGACGCCATATACAATAGCTCCCAAATTTCACTTCACACGATTTTTCACTCTCATCAATGATACCTTTCATATATTCAGTGACTTCAACCGTAACACCAATTCCAGTGCTCTGAAACAGATTTTAAAATAGATCATGATCTATGACGCCCATGCATTGACCAAAAAATAAATAGCATGATGACTAAACCAATCACTCTAATAAATACGTACATTTGCTTTGGGACGTGGTTTCGGCACATCAGTAGGCACAGTCAAGCCTGCCAATTTTCAACCCCCAACCCCCCCCAACACACAAAAACAAACAAATAAATAAGCTAGTAAATAGAAGTGAGCTCCAGTCAACATCTTTATACAGGGTAAAGAACTATCAAAGCAACACTGCAAAGTCCAGGTCATTTATAAGTTGATTAAGCAGGGCAACCATACCAATAGTTTTATTTTCAGCTTCTTTAACAGAGTTTCTCCTAGAATCCTGACCAAACAGAAAAGCAAGAAAATGAGAAAAAACATACAGAACAAGACATAAATTTTGAAGATGATTGGATTATGGTAGAAAGTACAAGACATGTAAATAAACAGACAAAAACAAGACCTGCACTCAACAATAAGAGCATCATAAGAATGGAACTCAAAAACAGTAGCTTTTTCTTTTACAGACAGCATTCGCAGCTCATAACTTGACTGCTAACAAGCAGGTGCTTCAGTCCACATCACAAATTCATAAATTAATGCCAAGTTCAAAAAAAGACACAAAGATAAAGTTTATGACAGTTAGCATCCATCAAAGAAAGAAACAAACATACCTAGACATACCAAGAGAAACAAGTCTGTTATTCGGAGGTCAAGAACAGGCATATAGAACTGCTTCAAGAGAGAAATATGAAAAGTTATGTATCTGTGCCACTACGATATGGACCAGAATAAGAAGAGCCTCACCACAAAACTGAATGCTGTGAAAGTTTAAGTGTTCCATAAATATGGATATAAGAACGCACAACACTTGTGATGTTCAACTCTGCAACTGATAGAAAGGCCTCAACAGTAAAAGTCAAGTTTTGGAGGTTCGGCACTTTATACTAATGGAGTCTGCTTATGGTTGCTGTTACATAGATCTCTAATACTTGGGAATTAATGGTAGAGGGTTTCGTAAACACAATTGGTAGTTTAATTGTTTAAAGTGTGATTTGACTTAAATGCACTAATATTAAAAAATATTAGAGTGGGAGGAACAAAATAACCCACTGCCCATAAATAAAAAATTAAAAAAATGAATGTTAATTGTAAAAATAACCATAAAAAAGTTAAAAGCCGATTAATAAAACCAGTAAAACAATCATTGTTGATTTTGCAGTGGTTTAGGCAAAAAGGTATGAGTAAAGTTTTTAAGGTTTTCTAGGTGAAAAAAGGGTTGGAATTAGCTCAATGTAAAAGTCTTTAGTTCCAAGATTTATAGAGAAAAGTGGCTAGACTTCTCTAGACAAAATTGATTTTAAGGATCTTATTGTGAAACTAAAGTGCCAAAATGTTTTTTTTTTTTTTTTTTTTTTTTTGTTTTTTTTGGGTGGGGGGGGGGGGTATATGGAAAAAAGAAAAAAAAAAAAGGGGCCCCATGCGAATAACTTAACGTATCTTTGAATACTTTCCCCCCCCTAAAACATGTATCCATAATTTGAATTAAATTTTTAATTTTTGAGAAGTATTGAATACTTTTCAAATACTCTTAAATGAAGTATCTAAACTATTATGAAATTGAAATAGTAATAATTCTTCATAGCATTAGAGTATAATTGCTAGGATAAATACAAGAATAATTTTTCAATACTTTGCTTACTTCTTAGAAATTAAAAATAAAGAAATTAAAGTAGTACTCTACTTTATATTTAGAATTTACTGAATTGATGATCCTTAATGTGTCATAAATATGTCCTATATTCATAACCATACTTTAATACAACGTAAGGATACATATGAAAATATAATGATACTAAAATAGAATTTGATCAATTTGGTGAAGTTCTATGCCAAGTTTTTTCAATGTGAAAGGGCACTTCACTACCTCTCACTTAATGCGCGAGACTCATAATGCTGACAAGGACCTCCTCACCTATGTCCACCTTTTTTGTGAAAAAACAGTGGACATCCTAGACCCAATAGCATAAGACAACTCGTGAAGCTCTCTGCATTTAGACAGCATGAGCTCTCATTAAAAATCCACTTGGTAAACCACCATGTTACAGATTCCGCAAGCCTGCCTCCATTTGGTTGGGAGGATATTGAGGAGGATATTGAGCATGATCGTGTGAGCCCCTCCTTGCCTACCAACCATGCCGCGACTATCAAGCTAATACATGGAAGCTGCGTCAACCCGAACACTCCGTTTATGCAACCTAAAACTCCTTGAGCCCAAGCAATGACAATCAAAGGAAACAGCAAAAGTTTGATCAACCTCCAACCTCCGCTCCTTGTTTCCACGGAGGAGGTTAAGCTTGCAGGGCGAGCTATGTAGCTAATGGGAAGGTGGATCTACACGAGGCAAGAAGGCCGGTTTCGAAGAAAGACCTATCCAAACCAAACCACTGCATATATGATTTCTCACTCCATCACCCCATGACGGACTACTAAACATTGAGAAATCTCATCAACAAGAGTATAAGTTGTGCTATGAATTTCATCAATACCACGTGTCCGATGAACGCACTAGCCATACAATGCACCACATCAACGTGGTGGTCATAATGCATGCATTAACACTTGTCTAGAAGTAGCTAAACTACTCCATTATCTTGAATGTTGTACTGCACAACTCATCAACCTAGGGCAAGAGGCATGACCTAGGTGCCGATCAAATCAAAAAAACAGAGGCATGACCTAGGTGTGCCGAAGTATTCAGCATCGTGGAACTCTAGTCTAGTGGCTCAAAAGCTAGAGATGGGAGATTCGCCTTGGCGTTGTGCCCAATGTAACTTGACCCTTTGTCATTATTCTCAACCTAGTTCAAACAAAGACCAGCATAAGTGGGCAATTCAGCTCTACAAGAAATTTTCACCTCCTTCAGTTTAACATAGACCAAAGCAAACAAAGGAACACTGCCAACTTTTTAGCCGCAACAAGTTAAACATTAAATATACATTTACAACAATATGATTGATGACTTAACAGTACAAGAAGTTGAGTCTTAACCATCAGAGCAGAATGCAATGAACCTTTGGAAGAGTTGGCATCGATCTGCTTATAAGGGCATCTACTGGTTTGGATTGGTCCGTCTGGGTCTGCCAATAAATAAATGAACAAATGAAGTACTGTAAATTATCTTAAAACAAAAAATTAAAGAAAAATAAGCATCTCTCCTTCTCACAAGTTCAATCTCTTGACAATTTAAATCAGTGAAATTTTCTAAAAACAGGGTGAGTTACAAATTTCTTTGGACCCAAACAAAATATATTACCTTAGTCTGATTGCCGGAGTTTGCCCTATTGTGTTGCTCAAAAACTTTAAGAACATTCTGATTCGCCCAGAAAAGAAAAGAAAAGAAAAAATGCATCAATATCAGCAGAAGAAATTTTAAACTGTACTCTAAATTTATAAAGGCCTTAAAATCCTTACTGAAGTTGAAGTCTGCGGTTCTGTTGCATAAGCTGCAAAAGATACAGAAAAACACTTTAAACAATATAACTACTTTCAACAACAAAAAAAAAAGTTGTAATTGACGGATGAAAGAAGTAACCCTGTCATGCAATAGTTGTGATTTCATGCAGAGAATATAAAGATAAGTACAAACCTATCAGTAGAATCCCAAACAGACTAAGATCCATATCATATTATACGGAGCACAAGTCTACCATAAAATATTACATATCACATGAAAGAAATGCATGAATTCTCTCTATGAGTAAGATTTCCCTAGAAGGGAAAGAAATAGTAAAATCTCACGATTTATGATCAATTTATTCAATATTTACTTTTTTAGGGAACAAAATTTCACATTTAAATTATGTCAGACATTACTCAGATATGGGTGGCAAGAGTAATTTGAAGTATAAAATTAAATACAAATATGATTTGATGAGAGTGTTATCTATGTCCGTTAACTTGATTTTTTTGAATAGATGTTCTACTAGATATACTCCAAAAAGTTAATAGTTTGGATTATCAAAATAGGCCCGTAGCCTGTGCAAGTGATTTCATCTCAAACCAAATAGAAAGAAAAATTTAAAAGAAAAAAAAAAAAAATTGGAAGGGCAAGGAGATTTGATAAAATCAAAGGGGAAACCAAAGGCATTCGCAAACTAACTGATCTATAACAGAAATTGAAGAAGCAAAAAATCAGCAAAACAACCACAGACGTTTGAGATCTGAACTACATTGTACAAAATGGAATTCAGTCTCCTTCGGCATTAAACGGATCTGAGATCATCTTTACTAGAATCATTCGAATTTGAGAATTTTTTTACAAAATTAGAGTGATGCATATCATAAGAAAAGATCTAAACAAACAAAGAAACAAAAATGTGGTCAGATTTACCAGAAGTGGAGTGAAAGCCGCTATGGAGACCGAGCAAAAACACGAGAGGAACGAGCATGGAAAGGAAAACAAGGCCGAGCACCGCCACGACCAGGCATCTCCACCGCCTCTTCGGCGGCACAGTAAACGATGAACCACCGCCCTTCATCTCCTCTCACTCCAAAACCTTCTCTCTCCACTTATTTCTTCAACTTTTTCTACGCTGTGTGTGTGAATTGCAATTCAAAACTTCAATTAAAACCTAAATTATGATTCAAATGATGATGATGATTGGGGATGGAAATGATTGATTGATTGTTTGTGGAACTGAGAATTTGAAGTAGCGACGGTTCTTTGTGATGGGAATCTGATCCGTTGTTCTTCGAATCAGATATGCATTGTTACGCTAGGCATGAACTGGAAAGGAGGAGGAGGAGGAGGAAGAGAAGATCAGAAGAAGGAATTGAAACAACAATGGAATGGGATTGGGCCTTTTTTTTGTCTTTGTTTTTTGAGATCCGAGAAGTTATTGAGTGCGGCGTACCGCATGATTGAGATCCGCACGGCAGCAAACAAGGCACATGCCTGTATGCGACTCTAGGGCCATCAATGAGTACCCTTTTTGGCTTTGGTTGGCGCTATGTGGCAATCACAGTTACAATTCAGGGGGGATTTTAAGTGGGTGAGAGTTGGGGCTTCCGCAGCAACAAAAGGGTTAATTCTTTAAAAATTAAAAAATTCTAACAGATCTCTTATCTAACTTCTTAAATATAAATGTTATTTTAATGATTTTTTATTTGTAAAAAATCACTATAATTCTTTTATATTTGATAAATTCTTATTTTATTTTGTTGAAGGATGCAAATGAGATGTCCTCCTGAATGTTCCATGAGTGCCTATAGCTGGAGAAAGAAAATACCCAAATTAGCCCGATCGGTCGACTGCCCTTCTTTGTTTTCGATGCTTCAATCTGCTACTTTGCTAGTCTATTTTGCACTCTATTTTGGACGTGTTTTGCACTCTATCTTAGGTCTGTTTGTTGGGGAAAAGATTATTTTAATAGAATAGAGAAATAATAGAGAGTTTGTTAAGGGGAAGTACATGAAAAAATGATTCCTAAATTAGGGACTGAATTTTTTAATAATATTTTAAGATAAAATATAAGTAAGCTGTTGCAGATGCTTTTAGGGATACATATGGAAGAGTATAAGTGATACTTCTAATTTTATAATTTTTTATTTGTATCTTATTACAAACCCATTAGCACTTTATGTATTTATAAAAAAAAAAATTCTCAATTTCCACATGCATATAATTCCTTCTACAATTTATCAATCACAATTCACCTATATGCGACTCTAGGGTCATCTATACTACTCGCTAATTACAATTCATTATGCAAATCACTCAATATGAATTTGTAATTTCATCTTCTTTACCAATTGTAATATTGTTGAAACACCACATAACAATATCTCAAGACCAACTAATAACTTCTCCATATCATATGCAATTGAGTATGGTGGCATCTCCATCCAAAAAAAAAAAAAAATGGTGGCATCTCCCATGATTCACATGTTTTTTTATTAATTAAACGAGTTTAGTTATTTTTATCAAATAGAGAATTTATTAAATTTAATAAATATTTTTAAAAAAATGAACCTTGAAATGATTTTTTTTATTTTCAAATTTAATGAAAAAGAAAATTTGAAATAAGAGATCAATTTTTTAAAATATTTTGATAACAATTTAACAAAAAAATTGAAATAAATCACATCAAATAAAAAATTTTACTTAAATTTTGAATCAAATTAAATAAAATAATTAATGAGATGATGGAGATGTTCTGAGAGAGAGATTATTTAGTAGTCTTGAAATATTGTTCCAAATTACTGTTTTTTTTTTTTTTGGTGACATATCGCATTGTTTTTTAAAAGCCAGACATAAAATATATATTAAAAAAAAAGAAAAAGTTTGACTAATACAATCAATAAAATACTTCACAGGAATTTATCCCAAAATCATGTTTACAGTATAATTTTCCCACTAATTAAGGAAAAAATCAATGTCACCTCAAATAATTATATCCATCACTTTCATGTACGGAACTATCGGATAAATTACGTTTACTTTACTTGAAGTATAAAAAAATGTAATTAATACTATTATAATTGTAATATAATTATATTCATTATTTTTTAATATGATTTAAGTAACAAAAACTAATGACATTAGTGACAGACATTTAGATAAATAAAGATAAATGTATATTTTAATAGAAAAATGATAATATTATTATTTTTTATTCATATAACTAATGAATTATTGATAAAAAAAAATCAAAATATTATGTGAATTAAAATTTTGAGAAATGTCAGCGTGATTATAGGACTAATTGTATTTTTTAAAATTTCATAAGAAATGAGTGTAATTCACCCAAAATAATTAATATTTTAAATTATTAACATTAGTTTATTTTACTCTTTATATTTAGAGGTTATTTGGGATGTCTTAAATAAGGCCTCGTTTGAGAACATACTATTTTATTAACTTTTTAGCTAAAATATGAAGTAAAAAAAATTAGTATGCTTGGGATGACTTTTTGATTTTTTACGAAAAGATGTGCAAAAAATAGAGAGAAAAATAAATTTTTGACTTTTTTGTATAGGTTATAGGCTTTTTTACTTTTTTAGCCTCCGTTTGGGAAGTGGGTTGGCTTTTTAGTTTTTTGGCTTTTTTTACTATATGAGCCTGGGTCAAAAGCTTAGTTTGGGAAGGACTTTTAGCTTTTTTGATTTTTTTGTGAGAGAAGAGTGTAATGATAATGGGGTTGGATGAGATGTTTTGTATGTTGTTGCTCATGAGCCTATTTTGTCTTTTATGGCTCATTGAGCCAAAAAAGCCCAATGAGCCCTTGCCAAACCAACCATTAGTAACTTTTTGACTTTTTGGCTAAAACAGTTACTTGCCAAACGAAGCCTAAGTGCACTTTTTGACCTTTTGGACTAAAAAGTTGAGGAAAAAAATATGATTGTATGGGTTAACTTTTTGACTTTTTATGAAAAAATGTGTATTAAAAAATTGTATAAATTAGTGTATAGGGAAAAATTAGAATTGCGAGTTGTGCAGCCGTACTTTTTGACTTTTTGTGAATAGTAATAATTTTTTAATTTTTTGAGTAACTTTTTAACTGTTTGGATAGATGCCAAACTTGACCTTACTTTACCCTATATCACCAAGCTAGAAGATTATAAAAATAATTTGTGCATATAATATGTTTAATTCCATTAGATTCAAAATTAATAATTTATTATAATTAATTGTGTTTTATTAAATATTTTCAAGCCAATCGGTTCCATGTGAGTTGAGTTATGGTTGATCCTAGAGATTCATTGACCCATTGAATTGTGACGTGAGGATTAAGGAAGAGAATAAATGGATTCTAGAGTGAGCTCAAGTTATAATTCAGTATATAGTGGGTTTTAGGTGAACCTTAGAACAGAAAATTTAGATCAAATTCTGTTTTCCTTGATTAGGGGACACTACTTTGACTAATGGGCTGTAGGTTGTTGTCATTGAAAGGAACATTAGCTAGGCATAATGAATCATTATTTGTTACTAGAATATATGAGGGGTTGAATTAAAAAAAGTAATCAATGTTAGTATTTTCTCCCTTGTGAGTTAATATGTTCATTGTTTTTAGTTTGCGAAAAATTAAATTTGTATTTGCTAAAACAGATAAAAGCATATCTATGGTCTTATCTGATAATAATTGGTAATTGAGGCCAAGTTTGGGAAGAGAATATATGAGGGGTTGAATTAAAAAAAGTAATCAATGTTAGTATTTTCTCCCTTGTGAGTTAATATGTTCATTGTTTTTAGTTTGCGAAAAATTAAATTTGTATTTGCTAAAACAGATAAAAGCATATCTATGGTCTTATCTGATAATAATTGGTAATTGAATTTATATGGGATTAAAGTGCACCTTAGGATTGGTTTGGGATGTTTGTTAATTTTTTGATTTTTTAATTTTTTTGGACTGTTCTAATCTGGAGTTAAAAACTTTCGTTTGAGATGAATTTTTTGACTTTTTTTTTATTTTTATAAGAAAAAAATAAAATGATTATGATTTGAATATAAAATTTTGTCTTATTAACTTTTTAATATATTTTATTTTTTTATAACTATTTTAATTCTGTAACCCCTTTCCAAAGGAGTGCTTAGTTACAACGTAACTAAAGTATAACACAAGAATGAATGATAATGATAGTGATAAGAATTAACTATTAATGTCCTTTGATAAGTTAAACTTTGAAAAATTAATTGTCTATTATAAAGACAGTGATATATATATTCGAACTGTTTTATTGGTCATGGACCTATTGAAACAGCCAAATCACTAATAAAAATTTGATAGTATTATATATACTAATTAGTGTATTAATTAATGTACCAACACTAGTTATGATATTATTATTGACCCCACTCATTATACAAATGGTGGTAATACATGCACCAATTAATGTACTAACTAGTGTACCAACACTAGTATGTACTAACTAGTGTACCAACACTAGTTATGACATTATTATTGACCATACTTATTATACAAATTACAAATACTAAAAACCTGTTAGATTATGCCACATCATCAATTAGTACTATTGGAAAGTATTTTGTGAATGATACCACGTGGCTAAAGTGATACCGAAGTGTCAGCCGAGGTGCCACATGGCCTGGTCATGTTTGCCGAGATGATCTCAGTTAGGCCGAGATTATCTACGGAGATGCCAAAATTCGAAATAAGTGGATAAGGGACAAAAATCCTAAACAAGGATGGTTCTAATTTGGATAAGGATAAAGTTCAACACCTACAAGTAGACTAGTTAATATATTAATTGGTTGCATATATAATATTATTCTTATACTAATTACAAATATAAAAAATATCTTAAATTATGACACATCATCAATTGTTGAATCTTCTTATTTGATATGCTTTCAATTTCATATGCTTAGGCCTCGTTTGGAAACCCTCTCTTTTAGTCAAAAAGTCAAAAAGTTACTAAATTAGTCAAAAAGCCAACAACCCATACCAAAAAGTCAAAGATTCTCTTTTCTCTCTACTTTTTGCACATCTTTTCGTAAAAGTCAAAAAGTCATCCCAAATATATTATTTTTTTAGCTCATATTTTAGCTAAATAATTAAAAAATTATTAAATTAACCTGTTCCCAAACGAGACCTTAGTTGGATAATTAAAAAATTATTAAATTAACCTGTTCCCAAACGAGACCTTAGTTGGAAATGGCATGCTTATAAATGTATTATGAGTTTTTTTTTTGTGAAAATTGTGCATCGGCGTGAAATTTGAATGTGAAATCTACAAAACTACACGTTAAAGACAGCAACAATAAAAGGTTGAATAGTTAATGAGAATAATTAAGGATATTTTTAGAATACGGTAAATAATAGAATAATATTAGAGATTCTAAAATTTTTATCAAATTGTCAAATATTTCATATGGGTGTGAGATTCACATAATATAGATGTCATGTGGGTCTTACACCATATAAGATATTTGATAGAAATTTTTGTAGAATTTTTAGGATCTCTAATATTTTTTTTGTAAATAATAT